CGACAGCTTCCGCCGGTTGCCACCACTGAGGACCTCGACCCTCAACCCTAGAGGCTCAACCCCAAACTCGGGTTTCGGGTTTAGGGTTTAGGGATTAAGGATTAGGGTTTAGGGATTAGGGATTAGGGTTTAGGGATTAGGGTTTAAGGTTTAGGGTTCAAAACCTTCACACCCTAAACCCCAAACCCTCAAACCCAACCCCTAAACCCTATTTTTTCAGGCATGGGGGGCCGCCTTTTTTTTGTTTGCTTTTCAGGGTGCTTTGTGTCTTTGAACTTTTGGAGTTTGCGGGCTGGATGTGGCGGTAGGAATGCAGTGGGGTCAAGGCGTTTGCGGCCCACAGCCTTAGGGCCAAGGGACCGGAGAGGCAAAGAAGAGCCGGAAGGAACCCCGAAGCCCAACCAGCTAGAAAAACAACTTGCAAGTCGTGAACATACTCTTGACATAAATATGGAGATCATATGGAGGTATTCTTCTATCTGGGGGCGGGGGGGGGGCGGTTGTGCCCCTTGTAGGCACCTTTTATCGCAGGTTCGTCTAAACCCTGAACCCTAGCCGCCCTCAAGTAGACGCAACAGTTAGACCTGCATATGCAGAAGCTTCGGGTCTACAGGGCCTCTACATTCATGTTTTCCGCTTGCATCTAAACATTCCTTGGTCTCTGAAACCTATTCAACCTTCCTCACCTCCCCTGCCCGCCTCCACACCCACAAGCCCTCTGGTTAGTGAGGCCTACTTCTTGATCGTGCTGCCTTCGGGGGTTAGGGAACAAGCTGGAACTTGGGGGCGAAGGCACTATGGAAAAAGCCCCAGACCGAAACCCCTCTTCAACTCGCCTCGGCACGCCGTCGCGCCTCGGGAGAGGATGTGTGGGCTTCGGAAGGTGCAGGGTTGAGGATTTTGGGCATCTGGGTCTGCTTCGTGTGTGAGAGTGGTATTTTTGCAGAGCATGACTTCCCTCTAGTAGTATCGTCAATGTTATGTAGAACTGTGGTAATCAAAGATATCAGTCATGTCTGTCTTGGGACAGCCACAGACCAAGGTTCAGATGATTTGGGGTTTCAGGTTCTGGGTCTAGGGATTGTCCCCAACCAGTTGAAAGCTGCACGCGAAGCTATCATGGATTCCCCTACTACCCCCCCTCTCTATACGACCCCCCCCCCCCCCCTCTGCTGCTAAGAAAGCCAGGAAGCCAAGAACCTTGGGGGACCAAATGAACCCTACCATCGGCATCATCTCCTACTACCATTATGGTTGAGGTGTATGGACATCTACCCTAATTCTGCTGCTACATTGTTATCTTTCACCCTCACTAAGGCATATGGACCATACACCCGAGAACCTCAAGCCCTCCCAGGGAAAACCCCCCCAGCCGACCTCTACCCCCAAACCCCAAACCCCAAACCCCAAACCCTAAACCCTAAACCCTAAACCCTAAAACCCACACCCAAAACCCTGAACCCTAAACCCTGAACCCCAGGGCTGCCCCACGTTCTTTGCCAGCTTGAAGTCCTGTAGCGCCTCCTCCACCGCCTCTTGGAGAAAAAATGTACCGGGGGATGGTCTGGGTTTTTGTAGGGTTTAGGGTTTAGGGTTTAGGGTTTAGGGTTTAGGGTTTAGGGTTTAGGGTTTAGGGTTTAGGGTTTAGGACTTGGGGTTTAGGGTTTAGGGTAAGAAGTATGGACTTTCCAAGCACGGGTTTTGGGCGCACTTAGGCGTGGGGGGGGGGGGGGGGGGGGGGCGTTCCAAAAGGTCCCCGCAATGAACTTTGATTCCACAGTGCTTGGGGCTCTTCAGCTTGAAAAACAAGCCAGATGCTTAGAACTGATGCGAAACTACCCATGGTCTCTTCACCATCTTGTTCGATGGCCTGCGACACCAACACATTGGCCATAAACCCTAGAGTAAAATAAATCCTTATGAACTCTAAACCCAAACCCTAAACCCCGAACCCCAAACTAAACTCGAGCGGCCCTTCAAGTTTTGCTTGCGAGGGCTTGGACTTCAACTCAACACACTATCTTAACGTACATCTCCTAGATACAAGGGGGTCCAGGGTTTAGGGTTTGCTATTCCTACTGAATAAGGAAAGCGATGTTTTAAGTCCAACCGTCGGCCAAGTAAGTTTAAGAACCCAAACCCACTATCGTTGAGTAGGCCGTCTAGGAATCCTATAGATGGGGTTCCATAGTATCAACCTACAAGAAAGTAGGTTCGAGGTTCGTAAGGCAAACCTTAAACCACAAACCCTGAACTCTAAACCCTAAAACCCAAACCCCAAACCTTAAACCCAAAAACCTAGACCCTGAGCTCTAAGCCCTAAGCCCTAAGCCGAAACCCTAATTCCTGAACCCTAAACCCTAAACCCTACTAAACCCTAAACCCTAAACCCCAGGCCCTAAACCCTATAAACCCTAAACCCTAAACCCTAAACCCTAAACCCTAAACCCTAAACCCTAAACCCTAAACCCTAAACCCTAAACCCTAATCTAAACCCTAAACCCTAAACCCTAAACCCTGAACCCTACACACCCCAGACCTGTAGGAAGGATCTACTTGAAGGCTGCTGGCCTGTTTCGGAAGACCGCGGATGGAGGCGTAGAGCTCCAGATGGTCCTGGGGCCGTCGCAGCTCCGAAAGGTTTAGGGTTTAGGGTTTAGGGTTTAGGGTTTAGGGTTTAGGGTTTAGGGTTTAGGGTTTAGGGTTTAGGGTTTAGGGTTTAGGGTTTAGGTTTAGGGTTTAGGGTTTAGGGATTAGGGAAGTTTAAGGGAAGTTTATAAGGTTTCGGCATGAGGGTTTGGGGCATACTTCTCGTACCTACTTTGGGGGCTCCTAGACACAAAAAAAGGGTTTAGGGTTTAGGGTTTAGGGTTTAGGGTTTAGGGTTTAGGGTTTAGGGTTTAGGGTTTAGGGTTTAGGGTTGATTCATGCTATAGGCTTTCAGGGTTTCAGGGTCCTCAAGGGCCAACGGAACCCTAAAATCGGGATCATCTACCCCTTTCTAGAGTAAGCACCGTTGAAGTATATGAACCATCAACCGTTTAGGTTGGGATGTTCCCCCCTGTACCAACAGTCCTTATGAATAGGGATTGTAGTAATTATCCCCTATTTTTATCCCCATTAAGGACTGCTAGTATAAGGAGGAACATCCTAACAAAAACCCCTTCAACCGGTAACCCTAAACCTTAGACTCTTGTAGCGTTCCTTTGGATTTTTAAGGTTCTGCCGGCTTTGCTGTACATCTCAAAGGGAACTTTGCAGCCCAAAAGCCTGGCTCAACAAGAGTTTTGATAACTTTGTTTAGGGTTTAGGGCGTAGGGTTTAGAGTTTAGGGTTTAGGGCTCAAAGAAGACCCCTGTATATAATGGTCATCTGATGGTCGTAAGGTCCATATTGTGGGCATCGGGGTAGCCAAGTAGTCGGCTGTATCAGCTCATAACACATCCGCCGCCCCACGAAGGAAAGAAACCCTAACCCTAAACCCAAACCCTAAACCCTCAACCCTCAACCCTAAATCCTAGACCCTAAAAACCCAAAGTCCTTGACCCTCAACCCTCAACCCCAAACCCTAGACCCTAAACCCCTCTCCTGTACAGTCAGGAGCTCCAAAAGTGCATCGAACTGAGGGCAGTAGCCCAGCCTGCGCTCGGCCCCACATGGCATTCAGGGTTTAGGGTTTTTAGGGTTTTTGGGGTTTAGGGTTTTTAGGGTTTTTAGGGTTTAGGGTTTTTGGGGTTTAGGGTGTATCGTTTAGGGTTTAGGGTTTGGGGTTTGGTGTTTACGGTTTAGGGTTTGCGGCCTGCGTGCTTGGTCCATGCACTTGCTCATCTAGCTGTCCCCTGGGGAAAGACCGGGGAACCAGGGGACATCTTCTCCCCGAAGTTGAACCGGAAGTCGAAAAAAACAAACAACCCCTAAACGCTAAACCCTAAACCCAAAACCCTAAACCCTAAACCCTAAACCCATCCCTAAGCCTCACAAGCAAGTATCAAATGCATCGACACCTGTCCGGCAGAGACAGATCTATCGCAAAAAACCCTAAACTCTCAAAACCCTAAGCCATAACCCTAAACCCTGAACCCTGAACCCTAAACCCTGAACCCTAAACTCTCAAAACCCTAAACCATAGAGAGGCCCCATGAGGCTGTGGCAAGTCTGGGGCGTATGGAGGCTTACCACAAATTTCCTAAACTCTACTCTAAACCGTCAAGGGGTTAGGGCTTACGGTTTTGCGTTTTAGGGTTTAGGGTTTAGGGGAACCCTAGCCAAAACAAACCATTCATCCTACACCCCAAGCCTTCTCTTCTTGAAGCTGAGCCTTGAACCATAACGTTAAGCCCTACATAAACCCGATAAGCCTTCTCCGCCCTCAACGCTGCCGCCCTGGAAAAAAAAAACAACAACCCTAAACCCTAAACCCTAAACCCTAAACCCTAAACCCTAAACCCTAAACCCTAAACCCAAGACCGTTTGCATTTTTCCCGCGCTGGCCAGCAGGGGCGCACCCTGTGGACGGTGTCAGGGTCGGCGCGGGATTCAAGGGCCTTAATGGCTTCATTGGGGCATGTGTTGTGTCTAAAGGCCTTGAAGGGCTTGCAGGGATTTGAGGGCCTGTAGGATTCATGAGTTATGGGTTTTTATGGGGTTCGTAAGGTTATCGCTAAATAAGGTTTAGGCGGTTTAGGTTGGGCTTAGGATTGCAGGTGTGGACCAAACAAACCTCACGGCTCTCAGCGCCAAACCCCAACCCCTGAACCATCAAGCCGCGCTGACATCCTTATCCTTTTCCTGAAATGTAACCCTAAACCCCAAACCCTAAACCCTAAACCCTAAACGTGATGGTTCCGTGGGCTACTGTGGTTTTGTAGCGTCAGCTTTTTAGGTCTTAGGCTGCATCAAGCTCTAGCCGCGGGCTGCGCTTTGCTGTTTGGTTCTTGGACAAGGAGGAACAACCGTGTTTAGGGTTTAGGGTTTAGGGTTGAGGGTTTAGGGTTTAGGGTTTAGGGTCCTAAATGCGCCCTAGCCCCTACATTCTGCTCGTCCAAGGTGGAAGCCGCGCGCGCGCGCGCGCGGGTTCTCACGGAGTGTCTCTCCGGGCACCTTGCGCCAGCTACCCAACTCATGCAGGGATCACCAGCTTGCCATCCGCCCACCTGGCCATAGAGAACAGAGACCCTGAACCCTAAACCCTAAATCCGAGACTAGCATTCAGAACAGGGTTTGGAACAACACCCACATGTGAGGAAGGGATCGTCTTTGTGGTGCTTGTCAGTACCCAGCAAAGGACACCCAACGTACACATCCAGCATGGGAAGACACCTGCACTCACCAGAACCACCCCATTTAAACCCTAAACCCTAAACCCCAAACCACAACTTAAAGCCAAAAAGACAAATCTAGATGGGTCTCAGATTCGGAGATTTGGCGGAGGGCCTCGGGGCGGGGGGCGGGGGTACCTCGCTGGTTGCAGGAAGGGTACCCTAAACCCTAAACCCTAAACCCTAAACCCTAAACCCTAAACCCTTAACCCTAAACCCTAAACCCTAAACCCTAAACCCTAAACCCTACACCTGAGGAGTTGAAAGGAAGCCGGCCGCTGAATCAGTAGGGTCTCTTCTTCTCCTGCGCAAAGTAAATCCCGAACATCCCGGAAGCTTACTGCAAAGACTCATGCAACATTCTTAAGTGTGTACACGTACTTATATATACATATATATATATATATACGTGTACATACCAAAAAACACAAAATCAACAGACAGACACACACACACACACAGAGCCAATCTGCAACTCGAAGCCACAAACCTTGAAACCTTCTCAACCTTCCCCCCCCCCCTCCCCCTTAAAGGACACACACACACAAGGAATGAAATGCGTGTCAATTCGACATTCTCTCCCAACTAAACCCCCAAACTCAACCTGGACAATCTCATGATTGGAGAACTTCAAGAGGGTGCTAAGGTAGTCGCCCAGACCCCGTCACCACCAACGCCTATCAACCGTGTAAGCACTAGAAGCCCTCAAAAAACCCTTAAAAGCCCCCTCACAAACCCTAAACCCTCAAAAACCCTAACCCCTAAACCCTAAACCCTCAAAAACCCTAACCCCTAAACCCTAAACCCTCCAAGCCCCTAAAACCCCTAAACCCTAAACCCTAAACCCTTGAAACCAGCACATCGGGGGCTCGCCTCCGGCAGTGCGAGGGCGCCGGAGACGAAGCAGCGCCAGGCGCAGCTCTGCGAAGTTCCTGGCTTGTGACTGACTAAGCCCTATATAATATAAACCCTGTAAAGCCTATGAACCCTATAATTCCTATAAACCCTGTAAATTCTAGAAAACCCTATAAGTCTTGTAAACCCTATAAACCCTATAAGCCCCCGATAAACCCTATAAACCCTATCAACCCTAAACCCCAACCCAAAACCGCTCCGCAGTGCTCATTTTCGAACAGTTCATGAGGTCTTCTCGCTTTTTGGGCGCATCAGGCAGTCCTTAAGGGGGATAAGAGTACCCTCGACTACAATCCCTATCAAGGACTGCTAGTATAAGCGGGAACATCCCAATATTTGATAAAACTTCAGCGTTTACGGCTTGTTTCACCTACGTGAGGTTGCTCAACGGCGACAAAGGGGGGGGGTATTGTAGTGTACGGCTACGTAGAAAGGTAGACCAATCCTCATGTGCCAATGCCGAAGGGAAGGTTCCTGTATGGACAAAGCATCACTGAGAACCACCCATGTTCCCATCGAGGGTTTCAATCCAAACATGCTTTTCTTTGGGGTCGGAAGGGTAAAATATTTAGGGGCGTGAAGTATTGGAAATATGGTTTTTGGGGTATAGTAGAAGTAAAAGGGACCATAAGGGAGTAAAGGGAGTACCACTCGTGCTTATTCGGTTCCGACCCCTCCAGAAGGGTTCAGAGCCTGGGGCGCATAAGGGGGGGGGTTTAGGGTTTAGGGGTTTAGGGGCTCCGGTCAGCCACGCGTCTGGAAAGTGGCCCAGGCAAACCTGATTTTACAGCAGGGGTTGAGGGTTTTCGGATGTGAAGGGTTTACCCCAAACCCTTCACACCTAAACCCAAAACCCTAAACCCCAAACCACTAAACCCCACACCTGTTGCCCAATGGCTTCTCGCCTAGAGGGGTGAGGCAGAAAGGCCCTGCACAGTTCAGGGCTTCGAGGTTCACGTCTCTAGGCTGGGTTCTGCATCGATTTTAAAGGGCTTCAAAGGGTTTTAAGGGTTTTAAGAGTGTTAAAGAGTTTTAAGGGGCTTAAAGGGCTTAACGGAAACCCCAAAACCCCCCAAAACCCCCCAAAACCCCCCAGAACCCCAAAACCCGAACCATCTCGAGGCGTTGAGAGGCTTTGGGGGCTTGGGGATTCGCGACGTCGCAACTTCCGGGATCCGTTGAGCCCGAAGCCCTGTAGCGAGTTGAGGTTTTTCGTTTAGGGTTTAGGGTTTAGGGTTGAGGGTTTAGGGTTAAAGGGTGTTCGAAGGGTCTCGAAGGGGTGTTGAAAGGGTGTCTGAAAGGAGTGAAAGGGCTTTAGGGCTTAGGGCTTGGGGGTTTAAAGGAACATTAGAGGGCGCCAAAGCCCTGCAGAAGGTTTGCGGTTGTTGGGGTTTATTCGGGTTTTCGAGGGGTATGAACTTCTGTTTTTACGGGTTTGTATGGTTTACAGGGTTTGCAGGGCTTGCAGGGTTTATAGGGTTTAGAGAATCAAAACAATGAACTCCCTAAACCCTAAACCCTAAACCCTAAACCCTAGGGGATTGGGGCTGAGGGATGACCAGCTGCAGCCGTGCCGCTTCTTCGGACCTTTCGGGGCACCTCGCAAGGCTCCAACATGCAATGTTGAGGAACCCTAAACCCTAAACCCTAAACCCTAAACCCTAAACCCTGAACCCTGAAACCCTGAACCCTAAACCCTAAACCCTAAACCAAAAACCAAAAACCACCCTAAGCCCTAAACCCGAAACCCAAAACCCAAATCTGCAAACCCTTACCTTCGGGACCAAATGAACCCTAAGATTGGGGCCATATGCCCTATACTACTAGAATCCGTATTTGGGCATATGAACCACACACCCTTTTCGGGTCCATTCGGTCCTCAAGGTAAGCCCCGGTTGTAAGCCTGAGCCTATTCGGGGGGTTGCCATTGGCCTGCGGGACTCTTGCGGTGACCTCTGGACTCCTTTAGCAGGTTTTGAAGGCTTACAGGGTGTGGGGTTTAGGCTTTGAGAGCTTCAGATTTATCGGGTTCAGGGTATAGGGTTTCGGGTTTAGGGTGCAGATCCTTTGACCAGAGCTCTGTCCGGCATGGGCTGAGAGGAGGTTGCAGCCAAGCATCCCTAGGCTCCGGAGTAACCTAGGAATAGAAAAGGGTGCCCTTTTTGGTGTAAGGGGATTATAAGGGGAACCCAACCCCAAAAAAGGGAAATAAGGGCCTACTCCGGGTCCTAGATTTGGCTCCTTGTCAGTGCTCATGTGGAGCCATCCTCCATGGATCAGATGAACCCTCACGTTGGGATCACATACCCCTGTACTACGATAACCCCTGTTGAGGTATATGAACCCTAAAAACTAAACCCTACACCCTACACCCTACACCCTAAACCCTAAACCCTAAACCCTAAGCCCTAAACCCTAAGCCCTAAACCCTAAACCCTAAACAAATCCTGCATCCCATGAGGACAAAACAGCGGGGATGGGGCGGATCATGGGTTTAGGGCTTAGGGCTTAAGCTTGGGGACACAGTTAACCCCAACATGAGACTCTATACCCTGTACTACCATAGATTTAGGGTTTCGGTTTAGGGTTTAGGGTTTAGGGTTTAGGGTTTAGGGTTTAGGGTTTAGGGTTTAGGGTTTAGGGTTCATTGCAAGATCAGGCGCGGTCTTCTGGGACGTCCAATGGCTCCAGCCAGCCTGACGCAAATCTTGGCAAGGGGCAAGGACGGTGCCATGACATTGGGACCATATACCCTATGCTACTAGAATCCTTCTGGGGTATATGAACCCTAAACCCTTTTAGGGTTCACTTGGTCATAACATATCTGTAGCCGAGCCGCTTGTGTTGGGCCCATCCGTTTATCCACTACATGCGCATGTTTTCCAGGCCATTAAACATGCGCTCCCATACTTGACAATCCCCAGTTGGCCTAAAATAGCAAGTCATGAGCCCCCCCTTTCACCCTCCGCTTGCAGACCCTTCTCCAGAAGACACGAGTGCCCGCACTTTAACGGACTCCGGTGGGTTTGGATTCAAGGGTTTCGCATTGCAACGAAGAGGTAGGTGCTTTCATCATCATCACAGCCACCAAATCAGGTGGAGGCGAACCTCAGATGTGGGGCCCCCTTTTCTTGGGGACCAAATGAAAACCCTAAAATTGGGACCATATTACCCTACTACTCTTCCCCCCTAGTAAGGTATCGGAACCATACACCCTTCTATGGTTCATGTGGCCCTGAAGGTAAAGAAAGACTCTAACGCACACCGCGAAGGCGAGAAGTCGATCAAAGCCCCCCCCCGTGACGCCAAGTGGCTGGCTTGGAACGCGGCCTGTGCGGGGGGGCAGATGAAACCAAACATCCCTCAACCCCTACTGCAAACTCTACTCCCTAAACTGTTTAGGGCTTCGTTCTTGAGGTGCAAAATCTGAATGCAACGAATGTAACTGAAAGGCGGGGGGGGGGGGGGCCCTTGCTAGGGTGGCTAGAGCCTGAACCCCAAGTTCTGAGGAACCTCTAACCCTAAACTCTAGCCCTACACCCTAAACCGAAACCCTACACCCTGAACCGAACCCTTGCGAACCGAAACCCTAAAACAAGCTCCTGACTCCACAAGCAAAAAACACCAGACAAAACAATTGGGACCAAATGAACCCCAAAAGTGGGACCACAGCTAGGGCATGTGAACCATAAACCCTTTTAGGGTTCATTCGGTCGTCAAGGAAGCGCAAATCCCACATCTGTGCGATGCGCTGGCGAAAGGCAGCATCTTCGTGCACAAGGCGACGGTACCGTCTAAGGGTACAGTTGCATGGTCGCTTTACATGGTTACTTCTACTTTCTTTCAAGAGTTCCGGAGCCTGGACCCTTGGGTTGTACATAAGGGGTATATAAGGGGTCCCCTTTTAAGGGCCCATACTAAGTGACCGTGTAAGAGTGAAGACCCCCGCACCCAGGGCCTCGGGAGTTTAGGGGGGGGGGTGGGGGTTAGGGGCGGCCGGGGGGGGGGGGGGGGTTGGGGGGGGGCAGGTTGGCTCATCTACAGGGGGGTTGGGGGGGGGCAGGTTGGCTCCATCTAAGCAACATACATATATATATATATATATATATATATACTATCATGAACCTAAAGAAGCCTCTCTTAAACCCAAAAAGAAAACATCTATGCAACGATTATATATGTATAACGCTACTTGGAAGATCACCTGTAAAACCCGGACAGCACCTAGCCAGAAGAGTTGGGTGCTGAGACCCTGCCGTTTAGGGTCCGAGGTATCGGGCCTTCTTGTGTTTAGGGTTTGCGGCCATAGATCGAGCCTTTTCCTGCACAGCAAGCTGAGGAAATCACGATGAGTGCCCAAAAACATACATGTAAGGCCCAAGTCCGATCTTAAACCCTAATTAGGCCCTAAAGCCCGATCTTAAACCCTAATTAAGCCCCTAAAGCCGAGAAAATCCTGTTGGAATTCTAGACGCTGTACACCCGGAAGGACAATGAACCCTAAAAAAGGCTTAAGGTTCATGTGCCCTAAGAAGGAACAGGGTTTTTGGAGTTTCCGAAAAAAGGGGTACCCTTTTTGGGGAGTCCCTGTAAAGGGGGTTCTATTCCATTTGGGGCATACAAGGGGTACACCTATTTTGGGAAATCCCCTAAACCCTAAACCCTAAACCCCCTAAACCCTAAACCCTAAACCCTAAACCCCATTTATGTTCCCAATTTTAGGGTTTATTGCCCCCCCCCCCCCCCCGCAAAGGACCCAAAGCCCCACCTCGGCCGTCAGGCGCACGTCAGGTGATATCGCCAGGCAGCTGAGGACGGTCTCCATGCCTTTGCCCCAAACCCTATTCCCTCAACCCTTAGTCCTAAACCCTAAACCCTAAACCCTAAACCCTAAACCCTAAACCTAAACTGGTGGGCCAAGGGGTGTAAGGCTTCGGGAATCCCGCTACGACTACACCCCTCCCCATCACTTTCCTTAAGGACCCAAGGAACCTTTAAAAGGGTTGATGGTTCATAAACCTGCATAAGGGTGAGAGTAGTATTGGGAATCTGGCCCCAATCTTCGGGTTCATGTGTGGTCCTAAAGGTACCCCCTCCCCCCCGCCCTGAACCCTAAACCCTAAACCCTAAACCCTAGACCCTAAACCCTAAACCCTAAACCCTAAACCCTAAACCCGAAACCCGAAACCCTAAACCCTAAACCCTAAACCCTAAACCCAACCCCCCCCCCAAAAAAAAAAAAATGAAATCCTGGATCCTCGGCCCGATATGAAGCCCTAAGAGTTCGCACGCCAGGGAGCGCTTCGCCGCAGCAGCGGGGCTAAGATCCTCCATGATTGGTGGGTGTGTAGGGCTTAGGGCTTAGGGCTTAGGGCTTAGGGCTTAGGGCTTAGGGCTTAGGGCTGAGGGCTGAGGGCTGAGGGCTGAGGGCTGAGGGCTGAGGGCTGAGGGCTGAGGGCTGAGGGCTGAGGGCTGAGGGCGGGCTGAGGGCGTAGGGCTTAGGGCTTAGGGCTTAGGGCTTAGGGTCTCAAATGATTGATGAACCTTCTCGAAACTTGCAGCTGCGTCTCAAGACAAAGGCTGCAGTGGCACACGCTGTTTTACGAACCTAAAATCCCTCAACCTTAAACCTTGAATCCTAAACCCCCATGTCTGAGCGATGCAGGAGGACAAGGAAAAGGATCAGAGTTGCAAGTTCGTAGCTTGATGAAGGGCCGCCAGGGACCAAAAAACCCTCTAGGGTCTATAGACCCTAAACCCAGGCCCTGAACTCTAAACCCGAACCCAAAACCCCAAAACAAAAAAAAAGCTTACCCCTCAGCAGGCTTTAGGGACTTGATTCAGGGCTCAGGATCCGCCAGCTCAGGGCTTCTCTTCTTGCAAGGCGAGGGGGGAGGAGGGGGAGGAGGGGGGGGCGGAGGGGAAGGGGGGGAGGTGGGCCGTATTGAGTATAATGGGGTTCATTTGAAGGTGTGCGTCACGACCCTGCCCCTAAACCCGTTTAGGGCACAGGGTTTAGGCTGCGTCCTGGCCGCCGAACTCCGAGCACAAGTGCTGAACCTGAAGGGAAGGAAGCCCTGATCAAGCCCCATGTGTGATACCCGTTCGGGATTTAGAGGTTTGGGCCTCGAGGTTCTCTGGTCTCAACCCTAAACCCTAAACCCTAAACCCTAAACCCTAAACCCTAAACCCTAAACCCTAAACCCTAAACACCCTTGTCAAAACCAACGCAGCCATTCTCTGAGGTTCCAAGTGACGGCGTCGGCAGGGCTCTGGGTCAGCAGTTCTTGCTCCAGCTGCCCGATGCCTAAGCTTTAGAGTTTCAGGGGCTTAGGGTTTTCAATTTCCTCAACATCCAAAAACCCTAAACCCTAAACCCTAAACTGGTTCAGAGAATGCCAGTAAAGTCCGTAAACAAAAATAAGCAAAAACAACTACGACCCCCCCCCCCCAGGTCAAGGTTTCCGGTGCTCTCTGATGCCCAGCAGATTTTTCGCCCCTTTGCCCCACATGGCTCATAGGATGGGATCTTCACCCTTATACGAACAGTCCTTCATAGGGGTTGTAATAAGGGGGTACTTGAATCCCTATTAAGGGCCATTAGTAGAAGGGGGGACATCCCAATTTACAGGCTTTATCGTCCTCGGGTCTCGACCCTACACCCCGAACCCCAAAACCCCGTAAACCCCGTAAACCCTAAACCCTAAACCCTAAACCCAAAACCCCGTAAACCCTGTAAACCCAAATGCTTGAGCCCTTTGGGGGTGCGGGTCCAGGGTACGATGTCGCTGGTCTTCCAAGCTGGTGCCTGGGAGGAGTGTCCTTGCCAGGAGCCGGCAAGGGCAGTGGGCTTTCAGGGTTGCGTGGCCCTAAACCCTTACACCCTAAACCCTAAACCCTAAACCCTAAACCCTAAACCCTAAACCCTAAACCCCTAAAACTAAACCCTGAACAAAACCCCAAACCCTAAACCCGAAACCCTGACCCCTGATCTTCAGCACTAGGCAGGGATGAGGTTCGCCTTGCTGGTAATTCCTTGCTTTGTGGCTGTTTAGGGTTTAGGGTTTAGGGTGTAGGCTTTAGGGTTTAGGGTTGAGGGTTTAGGGTTTAGGGGTTGGTTCTTGGACCAGATCGGTATGGGGCAGGTCCTCCCGGGCCCCTTCGGCTTCTGTTTTTGTCAGGGCACACATCTGTACCCCGCGCTCCCTTTGTAAACAGTACATTAAAGGGAAACACTGGAGACACCTTAACTTAAGGACCAAACGAACCCTAGAATTGGGACCATATACCCTAAATACTATAATCCTTATGAGGGCATATGAACCCTAAACCCTTTTGGGCTTCCTTTTGGTCCTTAAGGCATGGACAGATAGAACGAGCTCCTCCCACTGCCAAGGGGCGTGGCAGGGACAAACCAACCGAAAGCGGCAAGATACGGAAGTGACTCAGCACAATATGCGCCGTCTTCGCTGCGATGCATATGGTAGCTTCTGAATATTGTGGTCCTTTTTTGGGGTTTTGTAAGGCGACCCCTCACCTTTTTAGGGTACCCAAAAAAAGAGGACCCTAATTTTGAGAACTGACCCTGTGGCTACAGGCCTCTCATACCCGAAACCCGAAACAGCAAAGGTTCAAGTCCAGGGCCTCATAGAGTAGGTTTAGGGTTTAGGGTTTAGGGTTTCGGGTTTAGGGTTTAGGGAGTGGGAAAAACTAAGAAGCGAGAAAAGGAGCTATTTTGTAAGTGCAGGAAATGAGTGTTCGTTCTTTGTTCATACAAGTCATGCGATCGGTTATTTCATTCGCTCACATATAATTGTACTCACACACTCACTACCTTGATGCTCATGCGTTTCACTTGGTTTCACTAATGAATGGATTTTATGGGCACCGGGTTCCCCAATGCCCTACTACGAAGCATCAGTAGGTAGGGCAGGGTTTAGGGTTGGTGGGCGCCTGCGGTGCAACATCTCCGCAATGAAACAGCCCATGGCCCACATGTCGCCTGAGACAGGCTTTGAGGCGTGGCTTAGAACCGGGACTATGTGTCCAATACGACTATGATACCTACTGATGCTTCTGGGCAGTTCTCTGAATTAGGATCCCTCGAACTTAAGGTCTTTATTCTTTTTTCAAACCCTTGCGCCCTTAATCCTTGGACCCCCCAAAAAAAGGTCGTGTAGAAACTCTAGACCTGGCTGTTGCTTGGGGTGTCTGGGAGGCCCTGGGCACCGAATCCTACCCTAAACCCTAAACCCAAAACCCAAAACCCTAAACCCTAATTAAACCCTAATAACCCTAAATCCTAAACCCTAAGCCCCTAAACCCCACCCAAACCCTAAACCCGAAACCCCAAACCCTAAACCCTAAACCCTCATCTCTCATCCCTCAATCCTCAACCCTGGCCTGGCGCGCCGCCCAAAGAGCGTGCTTCCAGCACCTGAGGGTCCAGGTATGTTTGGGCTGAGGGCTTGAGGCTTCACGCCTCCTCTTCAGGCAGTTTGAGGCGAGTCTCTCTAAACCCGAAACCCTCAAACCCTCAAACCCTAAACCCCAAACCCTAAATCCTAAATCCTAAACCGCAAGCCCCTATGACAGGCAGCACAGGATTACCCTAAATCCTAAACCCCAAACCGTAAACCCTAAACCCCAAACCCCAAAAAACAACGACGCCTCAGGCGGGCTGTGCTGCAGCCACTCGGAGTCTGCGCTGCTGTAGAACTCACCTTATGCTGCAGTCGACTGGTGCAGGCCTTTAGGATTTATAGGGTTTAGGGTTTAGGGTTTAGGGTTTAGGGTTTAGGGTTGGGGTTTAGGGTTTAGGGATTTAGGGTTTACAGGGTATATAGGGTTTGCAGGGTTTGTAGGGTTTATAGGGCTTGCAAGGTTAATACGGTTCGCAGGGCTTTAGGGTGTACAGGGTGCAACTACAGGGCTTGCAGGGCTTCTAGGGCTGTTCTACTGTTTAAGATCTGGGGTCCGTGGGGACTAACCGAACCCTAAGAGGCTTAAATAGTCCATATACTTGCCTTTGTCGGATGAATGTGGCATAGGGGTAGACGATCCCCTTAAACCCGAAACCCGAAACCTTTAACCGTGCCCCCACGCGCCCGAAAAGACCAACCCAGTAAACCTAAGCCTTAGGTTTAGGGTTTAGGGTTTAGGGTTTAGGGTTTAGGGTTTAGGGTTTAGGGTTTAGGGTTTAGGGTTTAGGGTTTAGGGTTTAGGGTTTAGGGTTTAGGGTTTAGGGTTTAGGGTTTAGGGTTTCGGGCTTAGGGGTTAGGGCTTAGGGTTTAGGGCTATAAACCCTGAACCCTGATAATACTGGCAAGGATGTGCCACCGCAATGGGTCTATGAGCCCTCGTGTTCGAGACACTAAACCCTATGACCTCTGCACTCTAAAACCGAGCACTGAACCCTTGGCACCCAAGCCCGAACCCCTAAGCCCTAAACCCCTAAACCCTAAACCCCAAACCCTAAACCCTAAACCCCAAGCCCTAAACCCTAAACCCTAAACCTTAATGAAACCCCAAAATCGCCCTTCTCTGCAGCCCAGTGTCGCACCTCTTCCGAGGCTTCCTCAAGAGCCGGAGTGTCGGCGGCGTGCATGTAGCCTCTTTTTTTGCAGTATACATATATGTATATGTACTAGTTTATATACATATCTAGAACCCTAAACCCTGAACCCCCCTGAACCCTGAACCCTGAACCCTGAACCCTGAACCCTGAACCCCTTAAACCCTAAACCCCAAACCCCAAACCCTAAACCTTCTTGCATCGAGTGTGAGACTTAGAGATCAGGTTTGGACTTCGGGCTGCAACTTCAGGGACCGGTTGTTATATGGCGCGGACCAGCTACCGACACGCTACCCCCCCCCCCCCCCCCCCCCCCCCCCCCCCCCACCCATGTGGGGGTTTAGGGTTTATGTAGGGTTTAGGGTTTAGGGTTTAGGGTTTAGGGTCTAGGGTTTAGGGTTTAGGGTTTAGGGTTTAGGGTTTAGGGTTTAGGGTTTAGGGTTTAGGGTTTAGGGTTTAGGGTTTAGGGTTTAGGGTTTAGGGGTCAAGGTCTATATGGTTTAGGGTATTGGGGTCCTTATTATAGAGGGATCCTACAATTTGGGGGTTTTTATTCAGGTCCCCTGTTCTCGTAAACCTCCATGTGCCAGCTACGCTGTTATGTGCGGCGCCGAGGAAGACAAATCACGCCAAAAATTTCGATGTTCGGACGTGACATTCAGGGCCAAACGAACCTTACAAAGGGCTTTGGGTTCATATCCCACTTTTGGGGCGATTATAGTAGTATGCTCCCAATCTTTAGGGTTCATTTGGTCCCCACAGGAAAGCCCATTGAGCGCAGTCATCTATATACTGATAATCCCAGTAATTCTCCAACAATAGATAGATGTAATACAATATAGTTGGAACATTTCGATGTGAGATAACATAATTACGAGTATCTACCCACAAACGGTTTTCGAACATGGTGGCTATGCTGTGGAAACCAAGCAAGCTGCAAGATGACCATGCCAGCAAGCCCTAAACCCTATAAACCCCAAACCCTGAACCCTAAACCCTAAACCCTAAACCCTAAACCCTAGGAGAGGATTTCAAGGTTGACATGTCCAAGCGCGCCAAACCCAATGGCCTTCAAATCTCAGTCATTCGTCGCCCCAGAAGCCGACTTCAGCCAGAAAACTACTTCACGGCCCTGCCCCAAAAGACCTGTTTAGGGTTTAGGGTTTAGGGTTTCGGGGTTTAACCAAACAAACACCAAGCACTACCTTGAGGACCACATGAACCCGAAAAGGGTTTAGGGTTCATATACCCTAGCAAGTATTATGGTAGTAATGGGGTATATGGTCCCAATCTTGGGGTTCATGTGGTCCCCAATGGAAAGCCCTAAGCCCTAAGCCCTAAGCCCTGAGCCCTGAGCCCTAAGCCCTAAACCCTAAACCTAAACCTTAAACCCTAAACCCAAAACCCTGAACCCTAAACCCGAAACCCTGAACCCTAAACCCTAAACCCCTCCATACATGAGCTCTTCCTGAGCTGCGCAGGGTGTGGAAACTGCGAGGGCTTGCAGAGCCACCCCCTGGTTGATAGTAGGGAATGGCGGAAGTACCCTAAACCCTAAACCTTACACCCTTTCAACCCTAGACCCTTTTAACCCTAAACTCTAAACCCTAAACCCTATATAATCCCTTAAAGGGTATATATAGAGGGATATGATATAGGGTGCCACATTCCCCAATTCCTACTAAGAACCGGTAATAGCCAGGGGCTGCCAGGACCTCTCAGTAAGGTTTTCCGTGCTGTTTCCTCAAGGCTTGTGGTTTTGGGGTTTGGCCCCCGTTTTGGGGTTTGCCCCCCCCCCCCCCCCCCCCCCCCACCTGCGGTAAACCCTAACCCCTATAAGAGTACAAACACTAAAGCTATGAAAATAGTGCGTATGAAAACCCTACTAAAAAGAAGAACCATTTAAACTTTTTAAACCCTATAAACCCTAAACCCTATAAAGCCGACAAACCCTACAAACCCCCGTATCATGTACATAATGAATTTGTCCACTCACTTCATTGCGTGATGTGGCGGATCTCGGACAGGAGTAGTGCACCGGACGCACTTGCTACAGCAACAGCTGCGAGAGCCAGTACTTCAGGTCGATCGCTGGCTTTGTATCAAGCTGCAGCTTCTCGTGCAAACTGGGAAACCTTCCGTTCGGATCTAATCTCCGCTTCAACACTTGATACGTCTTGCCATCAACCTGCACCATTGTTGGGAGACTATCTAGAATAATCCTGTTTGTTCCTTATTGGGTTTAAGTACTCAGAATGATGTAAAATGATTTTCAATAATGACCCAGCAACGTGTTGCTTGTAGAGAGTCTCCGCAGTCATGTTGGTTTGTGAGTAGAGCATTTTTCGGCCTCCCAGCTCGAGCATTCCTTGGTAGCCCAGTAACCATCTTAGAAGAAGGCACCCTTTCTTTGGTTTTTGGGCTGGTTACTGAAAAAGGGAACCTTAGAGCAAAAACAAAGAAAGGAAGGGTGCCACTAGGGCTAGCAAGATTCTCGCTTCCATGGCGGCGACGTATTCGATTCCTCGATTGTCGCTGACTCGCCCCCACAACGCTACGTTCACCAGCACTTGGTCCTTTCCGCGCAAGCTCATACCACTTGGAGAGAGGGGCTGCCTTTGTTTAGGAGGCAGGACGGGACAGAGCCAGATTGGAGTGGATGTCGGAACCGCGGTTTGCAAGAAGCTCAGATACTCTGCCGCCGCTTCGAGTGATGGCATGTACGCGTCCATGATCACAAACCTTTCCGCGACAGCAATCGGGTGCAACTGATGCATGACGCGGTAGAGGCTGGCGGTTGAGTAGAGGCCGCCCACGATCCTTCGAAGCGGACGAGATGCCATGAGAAAGGGACCCGCCAGCTGGGGCTCCTTCCAGAGTGCGTTCCAAGAGAATTCCAAAGGACGGGCCATCCAAAATGCCCCATAGTCGTACCGAAACAAGTAGTCGTATAAGGACATGGTAAAGAGAGCCTTTTCGTGAAACTTCAGCCGATCTTGAATCTGTTCGTAAAACCAGAGACTGCTCGAATTCACGTGCAGCCGAGTGCTGGTTCTGGTGTCCTCTTCCGCACGAAAGTCGCCCATGATCACAGCCAGCTTTCCATTCGGAAAGGAAATGGCGTCAATGAAGTCATGGCCTTGTTCTTCTTCACGAGACGCTGCCGTGACCAAGGCTTGCAGTCCCTCTTCCCATGGAAAGCTGGCCACGGTGACTTGGAGAGTCGGTGTTCTTGGCTTGACTAGCTGAAGGGTGGCTTCCAGGACCACTCCCAGGCTGCCATAAGACCTTAGTTGTTGAGGAGTATCAGTTCTATAGGGGATTATTTATAGTATCCCAAAAAATAGTATCCCAAAAAAGATGTAAAGTGTTCTATAGGGGATTCTAGTACCCCAAAAAAGATGTAAAGTGTACTTTTTCAGCTACGAATAGACCCAGGAAGAGCGTGATAGACTTCGGGGTGACTCGCTTCCGAAGTAGTGGCAAGAGTTCCGTTGGCCAGCAGCAGCACACACTCGACAACCGTGTCGCTAAATTGGCCAAATCGAAAGCCTTACTTCTCCAATAACCAAGGGGAAAAAAGGTTAAACTTTAATATTCCTACTAAAAAAGGAAACCCAAAAAGTTTAAGGTTCAACTAAAGGCGAACTAGGAAGCTGGAGCTCTCCAGAGCAGCTCCCACAATGGCACCCGCCACCGTAATGGCCTTCAACTCGGGGACCACGGCTGGAATGACGCCATGTGGCAGAGTGGATTGAACCAGCTGTTCCATGGTCACCTTGGCCTGGGCTCGTACCATCATTCTGCTTGTGTCCACAGCGATGACCTGGTTCAAGTGTGACACATCCAAGGCATCGTGTCGACCGCTCTTCTTGTAGCTTTGATCTCCTTGGTAGCCCAGGAACCATATTCTAGTAAGGGCACCCTTTTGTGGGTGAGTTGCTTTATAAGGGAACCTTGAACCAAAAAAAAAAGGAAAAGGCACCACTGGGCTACCAAGTCTCGAACCACTGAGGAGTCTGTGCTGGGTGCCAAGACGATCGTTGGACTCTCTTCAGAGTCATTCTCATCTTGCTGAAGTTGCAGTGGAGCTGCCAGTCGCTCATAGTCGGCCAAGGCAGAATCACACGTTCCGAGGGGATCCCCGTGTGTCTTGGAGCACACTAGTTCTGATGAAGCCAATGATACGATCA